CATTTAGGACAGTTGATGTGGTACGTAGAGTGCTAGTTGCAGTTCCTAAATTATGTATTATTGTTATTTGAAAATTATTAGTCATAATAGATAATAAATATGAAAAACAATTGTTAGGTTATTGGACAACAAAGACTGAACAGTATGTGATCATAATCAGTAGTCTGTACTACATGTAGTTACCTATATCCTACATAAATCGATTCATTATCCTATATCACATGTTATTATGCCACTTAAAAGTTGGACACTTTGGCCTGTACAGTATGTAATTTAAATGTAAACTAATTGAGTGGAATCATCAACCTGTCTTACATGTACTTACATATACACTAACTACTAACTAAAGGGAATCATTACCCTGTATCACATGTAATTATACCACTCAAGAATTTGACATATCGGTCTTGACTAATATTTATATATCACGAGTGGGTGCTGAACACATGTAATGTTCAAGTAAATATTAAATTATATAGATAATAGCAATACTCAAATAATCATCAAGTTCATCATAGTCTATGTTAAACCGGTGTTTGGAAGATATCATATACTGTAAGTATGATAAATCATTTGCTTAGATATGATCTATTCATCCTCAGAATTATCGATGCTACTGTTCTCACGTTTTTAATATAAGCTAAGTTTGTATCATTGATGACAAAGTATCTATTGGACTGATAAGCTCGATAATGACTACGTCCACTCGTTACCAGGAACGTCCATGGTAACAGTGGACAATTCCAAAGAGATACATAATCGAGATGATAATGGTACTTACTAATTTGTCTGACACGCGATGTCCTATTCATACAGACACAAGCCTTGTTTAATCACAAACGTATGTAAATGTCACAAGTTGTAAAATGAAAAGATAAAAAGGCCGGGTGGGTAAGATGTTTCTGTTAGACTAACATGGAAAACCAATAATGGTATATTTATTCAACTTTCTAAGTACATATACTGTTCATACCGGTTGTCGTTTTAAACAAGTGACACATGCGCTTTGTAGGCAGTAACGACAAATTAACTGGTAATGAATGTTCACGTGGGTCACAATGTAAGAAGAAAAAATCATTGTTTTACACAGAGTGCAGCTCTGCTTTCGTTTCTAACGGTCTTTATTGACATTTTAGTCCGAATACCCTACCTGACGTACTTGTGTTAATCGATTATAGTAATAACACTGTATAAGTATAATCTCTGAAAGCTATGGCTGTCTTTAACCTTCGATCTGACAGTTTGTATACTCGGGTATAAATCTATCCTTATAATGCACATATAATACTTTTACAGTATCCATTTTTAAATAGAAAGCCATATTTATCGCATGTTAAATACCAACCATTCATATTTTAATTTAAAAGGCGGAGAGGTTTTAATACACGCGTTATTGTGTCGTGATGGACAATCAAAATTTGTTTCATTCGACTGGAACACAATGTAAAGATGAATTTTTATGAACAGCCTTCAGTTCCCATTTGGCAGAAAAGGCTCATATTGTGCCATACAAATATATCGAACCAATATAAACGGAATGACAGAGAGACGGACGCCAGAAGATCTTAATTCGAGAATATATTGCAAAACAGATACTTGAATATGCAGATTTATAGTATAAGTATTTTTTTTGTATGTTTCAATACAAGACACTGAAAGTATTTATTTCTAAAGTCTATATTGTGTTTCTCTTCCTTTTATCTACTTCTCTAGAATGTCATATTAATATTATAGGTATTTCTTTGTATGTTTCAATTACAATACAATGAACGTATCTATATTTTCTATCTATATTGTGTTTCTCCTCTCTGTTATCTACTTCTCCAGAATGTAAAATAGTATATTTTGAATTACCTTGCTATTAAACATAACTGATAAACATCGAAGCTATCCATTGATATTTCCGGCATTTACATTTTCAAGGCAATAGCCCTCAAGCTATTACTTGCTTAAAGTGTCTATAAAGTATCCCTATTCACCCTGAATCCTGTACGATAAGTAGACAAGAAAAGATTAACGATAACCCGGACCTATTAGTGTGCATTCAATTCTATAGGGACTTACGCAGTACGTATGTAAGGTCAACACAACTTTGGCAGTAGTTCAGAAAATGTCCCTTTGGTGGTCGTAAACGGCACCTGTATGTATATTGTAGAGGTAGAAGTGTATTGGAATTTATGGTAAGTGTAAGTTCAGGTATACACCCCGTTAGAGAGTTTTATACTAAAACAAAAGTAGTATCAATTCCCCGATGATCAAACAAACGATATTCATAACAGGAAAAGATACAAAAAAATGTAATAAGGGATCAATGTTAATCATATGGGTATAAATGCTAACATACGGGTATGAATGTAAAACAACGGGGTATAAATGTTAAAATACGAGTATAAATGTAAATTTTTAGGATATACATGTTATCATATGGGTAAACATACGGGTAAAAATGTAAAACAACGAGGTATAAATGTTAACATGCGAGTATTAATGTAAGACATTTAGGATATGTATGTTATCATATGGGTAAACATACGGGTAAAAATGTAAAACAACGGGTATACATGTTAACATGCGAGTATTAATGTAAAACATTTGGGATATGTATGTTATCATATGGGTAAACATACGGGTAAAAATTTAAAACAACGGGGTATAAATGTTAACATGCGAGAATTAATGAAAAACATTTAGGATATGTATGTTATCATATGGGTAAACATACGGGTAAAATTTAAAACTTTGGGGTATATATGTAATCATATGAGGAAAAATACGGGTATAAATGTAAAATAACGGGTATAAATGTAAAACATGGGAAAATAAATGTTAACATACAAGTATAAATATAAAGTGTGGTGTATTTATGTAAAACAACGTGGTATGATTATAAAACTTGCCGGTAGTTATGTAAAACACGTATAAATGTTTAACAATCGTAATATAAATATACAAAATGGGTAAACATTAAAAAGAGGGGATGTATTGAAAACAAAGAGGTATACAAATAGAGATATGGATGTTGAATCAATGGATATTAAGGTAAAATACGAGGTTGGCTAATATGACAGATGGTCATTCTTTCTTTAATTTATTTCCTATTTTAGGATATGCTGAAATCTAAATCGGTTTGGCCATGATCAAATCAAAGGCCGATCTGTTTTATATTATTTTATGCATATGACACTGTTTTGATATCTTTTTGAGAGTACATACAATTACTTATAGCTATTATAGCTAGTTGTTGATGCTTAGAAATTACCATTTGATAAGTTGTACAAGCATACCAAGCAAATATAAATATCTCCTAATAAATTTATGTTATTCATTAGAAACTTCAACGAATACATATTTACAATATTAACAAATATTTCTCTCTTGATATCTGGAGTTGATCCACGTTAATTTATAGTAGATGGAGCACTGCACAAGTAGCTCTGCGCGTGAAAGGCACAATTTATATATCAATTACATTCAATGGAAAAATACCTGAAAATAATGAATGCAAAGTAAAAATAAACGAACAGGAAAATTAATATTTTAACAATAATATAGGTCTGTAAACATACATAAGTTAATAATAGATTGTTCCCTTAGATAGCATACAATGAAACATACATATATATGTCCAACTACCCATCATACTCATTAAATTATAAATGTATATAGGGGTTATTCAAACAGTATCTATTGAAAAACAACCGCCAGAGCATCAACACGCAGACCTTGGTTATTATGTTGTCATAAACACGGATCACTAACACGCTGCTTCACCACACAAAACATGAAAACAAAGATATAAAAAACATTAAAAAAGCAGGGATATCAACATACAAAACTCAAAACTCAAAAAATATAACAAACACTAAGAAAAACATGGAGCATCAACACACAAACAAATAAATTATAAATAAAACCCATGACGACACCGGGTCAAAACCAATAGGATTTAACCACATAGAAAAATATGCGATTCCTTTACCGCTTGTGACATCCCTCATTAAACAAGTACTTAAAGAAATATTAACATAAACAGGTACTTATGAATACTAGTATAAGTAGGCACTTACATATACAAACAGATAAAGGTACATACATACGGACAGCATATGACTAATGACTAGAATTTACACAATACAATGAAATCTAACTTCATTTACCACCCCAATTATAATGTAAAATCATGCTTTCATATGTCAGTTACCGCAGGACTTTCTGCAAGATAGACATTTGCCTATCAATCACGATACTATATAAACCTTAGATCTAAGACAAGTGAGGCTAAAATATTTTCTATTTTTATGTTTTGTTTACTAAAGTCTTGTGATGTCCTCAGACATGTCATATAAATAGTTCACCGAACTGGGGAAAAATGTAACTAAATTGTGAGTCGATTAACGGTTTAACTTAAACTTTTTATTTATTATTTGTTGTTTCCCCTTTTTTTCGATATGAAACAGAATTTCTACATTTAAAAGAATACATATGGTATGCAACCACTGATCCAGGATGAAGTCTTAGTGTCTGATGTACGACATAATCATTCATATAATAATAATGATAATAATTCTTATATACCGCTTTATCACAACCTAGTCCGTAGGTCGTCTCAAAGCGGTTCACAAATTATTATCTGTGGTTATAGGGCCTTTGCAACCAGCCAGTATCTTTCTCAACTCCATGGGGAGCATAAAGCCGGTGCTGCCATTTCGGCGCTCACAGCTAGCATTCTATAATTCTAATACTGCCCAACCACGCACTCATTACAGCTGAGTAGACTGGAACAAGCGGAGTAAAGTATCTGTCTCAAAAATACAACACAGTGCCGTACCGTGACTCGAACCCGCAACCATTCGGTTACGAGCCCGGTGTCCTACGACTAGACTACTATTAAATGGCAACTGTATAATGGTTATAGAAATATAAAAAATAAACATTCACGCTGTAAAGCATGTGTTCAGTGTATAAATATTCATATCTTTAAAGGTAGACGTCCAGCTTACCTGTGTGTGTATCATGGGCGATGTTGATCCGAATAACGGTTGATTGTGGCTGGTAGGTTTATCCTCACATTCTCCTTGTCAAACTTCGATAAAATTGTCCTAGACCTATGGTAAATACACTCGCGTGTTTAAATACAGCCTTTACAAGTCCTCTATGTAGCCTTTCCGTCTGTCAAAACACACTTAAATCACGTGAATATTTCCTCTTTATTCAGCCTGACAACTAATCACTTAAACTTTGTAAACGTGTTTGCAGAAGTTTCTATTGCCACTATCAAACCGACGTCTCAAAGGTGTCGTATTTATCTAAGCCTTCCGATAGAATGTTGGATTGCTTAATATTACAACATCATCAAAACACCTTTTGTGAAAGAGAAACTTCACCTTATTACCTTATAAATACGATCGTCCGTATTTCACTTTACCTGTCCAAAAACACCTTTTTAATTTATGTGTGTGCAAGCAACCAATGCATGCATCTTTAAAGTTCCACGTACATTCTTTCACAACGCCAAATTACTGTTACACTATGAGTACGTAATACATTTCCACTTTCTGATGAATTTGAATTATCTAAAAACGTTTCGTGCTGAATACATGTATAAATGAACTGATCCTGAATTTTCCGGATATCTCGGCAATATGTTGTGGTCCGTACAAAAACAGGCAGCCGTAGTTCAATCTATTAGAATACCATTCCTTTCAACTCTCGAATGGCGTTATATTGATCTCAATGATTTCTTGAGTCCTAAACCTAACGGGTAGGCACCGCTCAATACCGTGTACTGGATATACAGCCACTACATATACCCTATACCGGTACCTTGTAGAGGCGTAGGTGTGCCGTCTAATGATTCCACTAGTTTCTGATATATACCCAACACAGCTTGTCTAGATATACCGGACAGGTGTGTATACTTCGGTACCGCCTACCCTACCTACCCGAGTTTATAAGATATTTTCGTTCCCCATACATTATGTATGCTGTTGGTTCGGGTGTTTTACCCTGTGTCGTTATAGGTGCATTTGTACACTTGGGATATATATATATACATTTGAAGGGGATTATGTTACTTGTTTATCCGTACAGAAACAAAATTGCGGTTTTGTTTGTTGAACAAATCATACACATCACTGCCACTTAAAGTGAGTGACATTATCCGAGTTGTGATTTGTTAGCTGTGTTTAATCAGATGTGTTTTCTACAGGCTGTTTTTATGTTTACATGATATATGGGCTGTATAAGGGTTTCTCCAGCACATGTGACTACATAGAAATTTTTAATATTAGGGTTTAGAAATTATTCTAATAGTTCGATTTATTCAACTATTAACATAATTTAACAAATTTAAATCGAAATCTGTTCACGTGTAGTCAATTAGGCGTATTGTGTCTGTAATTTTAAGTATCCTTAAATTTTCGGTTGAGTGAATGATTTATTAACATTATCAGAATACATTTTAAACATGGAATATTGGATTTCTGGAACTTGTTGATCACAAGTAAAGAAGAATCATTTTACAGATTTGAAGAATTGTAAATGAACTTTCTTGTTTGGTATTAGTTTCTCCCGTAAGAAAAGAAATTATCAAAAAAATATTTTTTTCGGCTTTTAATATTTCTCGCCTTTTTCAAATAAACTCAAAACCCGAAATTTCATATACCATAAACTCTGCATATGTTTACATGTCAAACTGATCTTAACAGCTGAAATCTAAATCCATGATATCACCGTTATCTACATATCAGATTGATGCACTAATTAGTAAAAGCCTTCATTCCTTCAAAAATAAGTTACAGTACCGTTTACGCATCGAATATGAATTAGCAACGTCAATCCCGTGTTTTTGACTACCAGCTCCATCCAACAAGGTGATATTCAGTCGTTGGGACATCACTTTCTGACAGCATTGAATCCGTTTGCTATGTAAACGTTGCTGATAAAAAAAATCAGCTTAGAAAAACGCACTGAATGAAATTAAATATTATAGTTATCTGTGTAAACTTAACTACCCATCCAACCGGGTAAAACTTCACCAGTTACTATCTTTATCCCTAATATCATGTTTTATCTGTTTCTCTTCATATTACACATATTTAGACTATCACTGCAAAGTTATTCATGTTTTATCATCAAAGCTTGTTATATATAATAAGAAGGACTATGTATAAGTACAATAGTACTTGTTCCCCAATCATCTGAATGAAATCTCTATGTAATTGTACATGTTTATTGATATGAATAAAATATGGTTTAAACTAAATGCTATGAGACTGAACCTAATAACTGAATTGCGACATGTGCAGTATTGGTTGATTACATATTCCCTTTTTACACCGCTGTGCAGGAATGAAAAGTGTTATCTTTCTTGTTGTTTAATACAGTTGTTCCCGTAGGAGTTAACAAAAAATGCACTTGCGATCATTTTCAGGCCACAGTGTAGCAGAAAAGTAGCTAAGAAGATGTTTCCATTTTTAAAATGCATCTTTTATTTTCTGCATAATACAAAGATGTTCGCATCTAATGTTTAACCAAGCGCAAAACGTCAATCAGCTATGTACGAGTTATCGAACATGATCTTACCGGTTTAACTTGTCTTTATACGTATCATACATTCCCTAGTATTTTGTCAGCTGAATTAGATCTGGGTACTTAAAACCTTTTTGGTGTTTATGAACGTTTCCTTCAAAATGATGTGAATTTGTGGTATTATTTAATCAGTTAAAGTTTAATTTGCTGATGTCACGGGGAGTGTCGGTTAAATAGTTAAAACATTGCAAATAAATTAACATTAACGTCAATCGAAACGAAAAATGAATGACGTTTTATTTATATTTTGAACGTAATCGAATTATTGATAGGAGTTTATTGCTATTTTCTATAGTTTTTTTTATGTCTTTCTAATATTCTGAAAATATCAGACACAGTTTGCAAACGACTAAGAAAAAATATTCTATAATAGGTGTCAATTACCACAAGATATGAGTATCAAATAAGATATAAAGTGCAAATTTACTGTCGTAAACGTGGAATTTGTTTGCGTAAGTAGGCAGGTTCCATAATATCCATTTGTTTCAAAATGCAGAATGAGTGACGTTTTTCTTTTGTTTTAACTGTGACCATAATTA